CGGAGCAGGGAGGCCCTGCCTGTGTGTGCCCGGCGGCCCTCGCTCCCAGGATGTATTTCCATGGCTCTCCGGAGCCGCCTCCGGATCCCTGCTCTGGAGAGGCAGAAAGACCTGCCAGTACCGGGGCCTTGGGGCGAAGGTAGCACTGGGGGACGGAGGGTTCTGCACGATGCAGGGCAGGGAGCTCCAGTCTGAGCTGCTGCATCGCGGCGGGTTTGGAGCCCCGAGGGTGCAGAGCTGCTGTTATCTGGGCTTAAATATAGCAGAGCCCTAAGCTGCTGCAGGGCAGCGCAGATCCTCTTTGCAGTAATTTATCGGGTGTCCTGAGAGGAGAGGATAAGCCCAGGCCTGAGGTCACCTGGCGCTGGGGAGCTGTGAATCCGGCCGTGCCCCGTCTGCAGGGAGGCTGCACGTGCCCATCTCACGTCTCCGCTCTGTGTCTTGCAGGATGAGGTGAAGCTGCCTTCGAAGCTGAGCATCAGCAAGTCCTTGACGGAGGGTGAGAAGCAGGAGAAGGAAGGAGAGGGTGAGGAGGTGCCTGCAGGTGAGGACCATGCAGAAGAGGACCACATCCAGCTCTCCTCGGACGAGGAGGTGGAGATTGAAGAGATTATTGAGGAGTCACGGGCCGAGCGCATCAAGAGGAGCGGCATGAAGAGAGTGGATGACTTCAAGAAGGCATTCTCGAAGGAGAAGATGGAGAAGACGAAGCTGAAGACCAAGGAAAACCTGGAGAAGACCCGCCACAACTTGGAGAAGACCCGCCACAACCTGGAGAAGAGGATGAACAAGCTGGGCACCAAGATTGTGACCAATGAAAGGAGAGAGAAGATGAAAACTTCTCGGGACAAGCTGAGAAAGTCTTTCACCCCTGACCACACCATCTACGCCCGCTCCAAGACGGCGGTCTACAAGGTGCCGCCCTTCACCTTCCACGTCAAGAAAATAAGAGAGGGGGCGGTGGAAGTGAAGGCCACGGAGCTGGTGGAGGTGGGCGGCGAGGAGGCGGAAAACTCGGATCTGCTGCGCGGGGAGAGCCCCGAGATGCACACGCTGCTGGAGATCACGGAGGAGTCGGACGCGGTGCTGGTGGACAAGAGCGACAGTGAGTAGGAGCGGGCGCAGCGGGAAGGATCGGACGGACGGCTGGACACGGAACCCTTCACGTTTGAGATCTCTCTTCGCCCCGGCGCCTCGGCGAGCGCCCACGACGCGTCCGAAGCGCCCGCGGAGCCGCCGCCGCCCCAG